AGAAGAAAGTGGTCTTTGCTTCTGCAAAGACGCAGGCTCGCATGAAGGGTGTCCAAAGCAACAAAGCTCTATCCTCCAAAGCTGGTGAAGCTGAAGACAGTTGGGTCTCAGAAGGTGATCCTTGGCAGAATTTCAAACCGACTTCGCACAAGTCTGAGGAAGTGGTCTTCACACAGAACCAGCAACGCCCCTCACAAGAGGCCCGCTCCAGGATGTCCCAGATGCAGCAAGAGATCCACGACCTCAAGAGTCAGCTGGAGAAGACGGGCACAGAGGACGTGCACATGACTTCTAGTTCGCTTGCACAATCCTCTGAGCTGCAAGAACTGCGTGCACAGACCAAGAAGCATGAAAGCTGGTTTGCTGAGCAAAACAACCGAATGACCAGTTTTGAAACCACATTGCAGGCTCAGGGACAGCAGATTTCACAGCTGAATGAGTCTATGCAGTATCAGTCTTCGGCCACTTCGGCGCTACAGCATCAAACGGTTGAAATGCAGACGTCCTTCAAGGATCAGCTTACCTCCAGCTTTGATGCACAGAATGCCAGGCTTGAAGCATTGTTGGAGAAAAGGTCGCGTACCTCGTGACTATCAGGGCGTGGGAGGTCTGTTCGATCTCCTGCACGCCACCCCCTCTTCTACTTTGTTGTCTTTTCGAGGCTGTTCTTTGGGGCTTGCTCTTGCTTTGCGCCTATTGGCTCGTTGGAAACTTCAGTCATGGGCTCACTGCAGGAGGATGGAGTGAACTTGTCCTCAACCGCATCCTTTTCTTTCAGTTCCTTGTCGGGGCTGGCTTCCTCTCACTGTAGAGTTGGAGAAGCAGCCAATCCTGGACCTGGGTGTGACATGATTGCCATGGGGTCGACCAATCCTTCTGGTCTTTCCAGGAGGGTGTCCGAGGTGATGCAGTTACCGCCGGGTATTTGGTCCTTCAGCGAGACACAGCTCACTGAACAGGGCTTTCGTTCCTTTGCTTCACAAGCTCGTCATTTAGCCAAAGAACAGGGCCGACAGCTTCGAATACACTCAGGCGCTGCTGCGCCCCCTCGCTTTTTGGGTTCTGCTGCTGGTGCTTGGACGGGTGCGCTTACTATGTCTGACTTCCCTCAGCAACTTGTTCATCCACAATGGAAGGGAGCTGAATTTGAATCAGGCAGATTGCTCATGAACACCGTTCACATTGGTGGCTTGACTCTCACAGGGTCTACTTTGTATGGTCCTGCCAATTCGCCTACATGGAAGCAGCCTTTATCTCTGCTCTCAGAACTCATTGACACGGTCACTGAGGAGATCGTCCTTGGAAGATCTGGATTGCGATATGTTGCAGGGGATTTCAACTGTGATCGCATGCAGCTTCCGCAATTTCATGAGTGGTATCGTAGAGGTTGGCGAGAGCTTCAACAAGTTGCCTATGACCGTTGGCAGCAGCCTTTCCAGCCCACATGTAAGGCTTCAACTCAGCGTGACTTCTTCTGGGCTAGTCCAGAGCTCTTGCAACGACTGCAGCAAGTGGAAGTGTGGCACGATTTGTTCCCGGATCACTCCGTTGTGGTGGGGCACTTTGACCTTGCTCGGAGTTTGGAACCGTTGTACTACTGGCCCATGCCGGTCACTATCCCGTGGGCAAACTGCAGGATTGGTGAGTGGCACCACGCTGTTGCTGAGGTGCATCATGCTCATTCCTGGTCTGGCGACACTACTTCTGCCTTTTCTGCTTGGAGCTCTAAGGTTGAAACTTCCTTGCATGGTTTCTTTGACAAGCAACTTGGGAGTTTTCCTCATGGTGCGGGAGGTCGTGGTGTGCACAATGTTCCTCTTAAGGTTACCCAGATGACACCACGTTCCAAGCCAGCGCGTCCAGGAGAAGAAGGGCTCTCTTCCTCCTTTGTTGGCCTTGCGGTGCACCGTTGGTATCGTCAACTCAGACGTCTTCAGGCACTTGTGCAGTCATTGCGTGCGGGAAGCAACACTGCTGGTGCTACAGTATACAGGGTGCAGCTATGGGCCTCGATTACCAAAGCGGTTGGCTTCAAACCGAATTTTCACAGTTGGTGGATGCGAAGACACATCCAACTTCAAACATCTCCACTGCTTTTGCCACAATTCCAACCATCGCTGGTAGAAGCTGAAGCCATCTTCCAGGACTTTCGCATGAACTTCAGAAGTTTTGAGCAGTGGCACATCGACGAGATCTGCTTTGCTCAAATTAAGGCGAGAAAGCTCTGCTAAGGCACTTTTCAGGGAAATGAGACCAGACCCACATGAACCGCTGGACACACTGTGCTGCACAAGACTACCTACGATGTCGACCAGATTCACGCAGCGGCAAATGTTGTCAAACTTGATCCTCCTTTGTCTGCCACGCAGGGCACTTTCTGGCTTGATGACGAGCAGATTGAAGTGGAACAGAGTAAGCAAGTTGATTTCCCAGCCCAACAAGGCTGGGTCACAATTCACTCGGACCGCCTCATTGTGCCTGGTCAAACTGTTGAACAGCACGTGGTGTTGGACACCCCTCAAAAGGTGCAAAATGAGCTCGCTGATCTTTGGGCTGGGAGATGGAATGTCATGGCCTCTCTTCCTGATGGTGCATGGAACCGCATTTTTTGCATTTGCCAGGGACTACACTGCTACTTTGCCTTTGCGGTTTGAGAGATTCACTGCTGAACACATTGTTTCCACTCTCAAAAAGGGTAGTGGACTCAAAACCCGTGGACCAGATGCCTGGAGTAGGGATGACTTGCTGGCACTTCCCAATGAGTTCAGGTTAGATCTGGCGAACCTCTTCACTGCAGTTGAATCTGGAGCTGACTGGCCGCAGCAACTTTGCAGGGGACATGTGACATGCATAGCTAAGGTTGCTCAGGCCACTGAGGCTACGCAGTACAGACCCATAACCCTCTTCAGTTTGCTGTATCGAATTTGGGGTAGCTGTAGAGCTCGTGAATTGTTGGCACAGCTTGAACCTTTTGCCAACTTCGACACCTTCGGCTACATCAAGCACCGTTCTTGGGTTGACTTGACTTATGCCATCATGGTTCAGGTGGAAATAGCACTGCTGCAAGGGCTCTCATGCAATGGAGTCATGGTGGACATCATTCGATGCTTCAATCATTTGCCTCGCAAACCGATTTTCCTTTTAGGGCGAAAGATGGGACTTCCCATGCCTATACTTGTGGCCTGGGACAACTTCCTT